TTGAAAGTCTCAAGTGATGGCGCTCCCACAACTTCCGAGGGCTAAGCTGTTCCATTGGTTGATTGTGTTTCACCGGTTCTTTGCCCGTCTTCCATATGATGCTGGATCTCAAGGGGCTTAAGCTAAGGTTTCCAGCATTGGCAAACCTGAAACAGGTCGATAACCCCCTAGAAAATTAGAGATTCAAAAGGAAGTGGAGGGATAGACTCCCTTGCCCTCCCTTCCTCGACTACGAGATATAATGCAGAGCTACTGTATAAATTGTGTTCGCCTCATTTCCCTCCTACCCATTCTCTTGCCTCTCTATTTCTTCAGCTTACACAGTGGTTAGTTCTCAACTTACAATCACAACTGCGCCCAGATATTGCTAGGCGAGACAATCGTTAAGTGAGTTTTGCCCCATTTTGCGACCTTTCTTGCTACAATTGTTAAGCGAATCAATGCAGTTAAATTAGCAACACGGTTGTTAAGTGAATCCGGCTTCCCCACTGACTTTGCTTGTCAGAAGATCACAAAAGTTGTTCACATGACTCCGGGACACTGAAATTCTCCTAAGTATGAATCATTTTGCCAAGTGTCTGCATTTTCATCAAATGACCCTGGGGATGCTGCAGTGGTTGTGAGCATGAAAAAAACGGTCATAAATCATTTTGTTCAGTTGTAAACTTCAACTCATTAGCCCATTTAGGTCACTAAATGAATGGTTGTAAGTTGAGGTGTGCCACTTCTAAAGACCCACAGAACAGATTTGTACTCTTGGTTCTAGAAAGAACGCTTAACCCGTCAGGAAGCAAAAGGAAGCAGAGAAATCCTTTTAAATTGGAGAAGTCTTAACAGTGTTCTGATTACTGGAATTTTGCATGTGAGGAAGAAGAAATGAAAGGAGTTTGCTAAGATCCTGCTGAATCAGAAACAAAAGGGGAAAACAGAGATATGTTCTGTAGAAAATGGTTATTGGCTGTTTTTTTTATCTACGGGCAGACATATTGGTATCCTTTATCACAGGGGTCTCCAAGCTTGGCAACTTTAAGATTTGTGGACTTCAACTCCCAGAATTCCTCAGTGGATTTCAACTCCCAGAATTCTGGGAATTGAAGTCCACAAGTCTTAAAGTTGCCAAGGTTGGAGACCCCTGCAGTTTATCACACTCCATATGTCGATCTTGGGGCTTAATCTCCAAGTCCAATTTTCCTCCACTGGGTGCTTTGTAGATGTGTTTAAACTATTCATAATCAGAACTCTGAGCCATCTTTGTTACTCTATATTCCTGCCTTCCTGTCCTCATTCCCACCCTCCATATTATGCCAAAAACAAAAAAACAAACAAACCCCATGACAATGGCCTTTTGGGAGAAGAATGTATGCGTGCTTTTCTGATTAAATATATCTGAAAGAGCAAGATGGCTTTTCAGGTGAATTTGGATCAAGCTAAAAGCTACAACTAGCAGTCTTATTTGAGTTTAGGCAATGCCATTTACAAAGTTCATTGTGTGATGAAAACACATCATTTTAAACTGAAATATGATCCCTAGCTCTCAAGAAGTGTGACTTTATCTTATGCGGCTTTAACAGAAGGCCTTTTATCACATGCCTAGTGTTAATCAGTTCTTTGATGCAACCAAGTCCCCAGGACCTTGGAATATTTTGTATTATCTTCATTTACAGAGGATAAAGAGTCTCTTTGCTAGAGGTAGTCATCCTGTACTGATAATGGCTTTACTGGCTGAGAGATGTCACTCATTATCAAGACATTTCTGGAATACGGTAACTGACGCAGACCTCATGTTTGAGTTTCATGGCCACGATGGTGGCTTCGTGGCAAAGGCCACGATCTTTTCCTCAGTCAGTTATATCAGCATCTGTTGAGGCCAGCCTGCCTCTGGTTTTTGTCCACTGCCATTTAGAACAGTTCCCTTATCTAGAGGACCGGCCCTTCATTGTGAACAGGTAGCCCTGTATGTTGCTAAGTGAGACTTTAAGTGAATTTTGCCCCATTTTACGATCTTTCTTGCCACAGTTGTCCAGTGAATATTGCAGTTCTTAAAGTTAGTAAAATGTTTGTTAAGTGAATCTGATTTATCAATTGACTTTGCTGCTTATCAGAAGGTCGCAAAAGGGGATCACATCATCCTGGGGCACTGCAGCCGCCATAAATGTGAGTCCGTTGCCAAAGCACCTGAATTTTGATCACATGACCATGGGGATGCTGCAATGGTTGTAATTGTAAACAAGGATCATAAGTCACCTTTTTTTCAGTGATGTTGTAACTCTGAACGGTCATTAAATGAGCTGTTGTAAATTGAGGTCTACCTATATCCTCTTTTCAGGGCTATCTCGCTATTTTGCCTCAAATCATTTGGACACTATAACTTGATCAGCTTCCAAATCAATTATGACAGACTTTGCTTTCTTTTTGGATTATAGAATTAATGGGGGGGCGGGGAGACCCACAGTAAATAGCCACAATTTTACTATTGCTGCAACTAACATGTATATACAACACTGTTTCTACAAAAGAGTTAGAGACAGCTTTTTTGCCAACTACTAGGCACCCTGCTATAGGTGGTAATTTCTGTTCTGTTTTCTGTGCCTGAGCATAAGATAATTCCTCCTCTTGTTTCTCCCTTGTGCCGAGGGATCCTTCCATTCATGGCTGATTTCAGGCAATTTCCCCAAAGATGCTTCCTTTATGCCAGACTAAGACACCAACGCCGTATAGGTCAGCATTGTATTAGTTATTGTATTATTTATTTGTTCTAACAATTATAGTAACAGAAGCTTGCAAGTCTGAACATGCCCCGACCCAAAAAACATCTTCATGTGGACTAGGTAGAGCTTGCTTGTCTTGAGATCTTTTCTCAAATTAGTTTCTACTCCAGGCTCCAACCCCATTTCTCTGACTGTTGCCTTGTAGTGACTCTTCTTCCTGTCTTTCAAGGCCATTTCCTATATCCTCTACAACCTCCCTCCCTTATGCATGTCCTCACCACCACCGCTTCTATTTCCTCCATACCCTCTGCATCGAAGGTGTCTGGTCCAGCCATAGAAGCATTGAGACACATTCATGAACTTAAAGCACCTCCAAGACTGCCTTTGTCATCAGTCTACCTGTCAGTCTTTCAAGGTAGATCAGGTCAGGAAACAAATACAAGAACAAGTGGAATTCTCTTGTTTTATTGTTATATTGTTATAGGATATACAAAAGCCTTTCTCTCCATCCAGCCTTAGCTCATGCTCACATAGCCATTATTGAATTCCTCCTTCGAGGCCATCCCCCTTGTTTCTCTACTTGACCTTAGATAAGCTTGAACTCAGCTGCAGCTTTCCAGAAATTAAACACCAAAAACTGCACCGATATGACAGAATTGTTATTATAACATCAAGACAAAAGCCCTATTAGCACAGTTGCCTCTTACAATTAAGGTTTTTGTTCCACTTTATTACATCTTGGATTAGGTTTCCCTCCCCTTTTGGGGGGATGGCTTAATAGAAACCTACTCTGTGCTTCCCTTGGCGTGCGCTATTGGCTTTGTCCACATTCCTGTCCTGAGAACTCTACTATACCCTACAACCATTGCTGGATTTTTAAGCAGCTTAATGGAAATAGGTTGGGGAATTTATCTGAATACTTCAGTTTAATTTCATGTAATACCAGGTCTTTCATATTCTGGCTTTTCTCTTTCCTCTGAAAAAAAGTCACGCGCGTCTCCAGTAACATTCATACAAAAATCCATAATTCATAAAAATGCATCATGACATCATCATGCAAATGACATCATCATGCAAATAAGAAGAACAGATGCAAGGCTGTTGAGTCTCATGATTTATGTGATGATGGATATATAGTTGTCATTTCCTTACCCTCCCACATCCTTGTAGAATGCAATGTTTGGTTTCCATAACAATATATCTCCTCTTTTTTTCCTTTGCAAAATGGCCCTTTTCTTTCCCTCCTGACCATAGTATTTCACCAAAAGCCTAGTATATTCCTGCTGCTTGTGATTTCTCAGTGTTCAGGTCAAAAACCAACTGAGTGCATTGAGGTCCAGCTCCAGTTGACCTCTCAACTCCTCCCTAGCTAGGAGTTGAAAATGATTTGGTGGCACTTTTACTAGTGGATCTGATGGGATGGGTAGGAGTGATTGTGAAGAGGAAGTCCCTAAAATAACCCAAGTCTTGTGCCATGAAGAGCTTTATATGTCATCTTGAACTGTGCTGGAAGTATACTGGCAAACAATGTAGCTTGTGAAACGGAGATGTAATATGCACTAACCAAGGAAGACACATAACTGTCTTTGCAGCTACATTTTGTACTAGTTGTAACTGTTTCAACCAGGCAAAGCTTTTTTTCCTTTTATTAAAAGCTTTTATAGCACCTTTCATTTGAGAATGTATTGGAAACTGCATCATGACTAAGTTAGTGGTAATTTCTTAAACAAGATCCAAGCCTTTTGTCTAAATTAGAACAGGATTCAAGACGATTTTGGAACCATATAGAGTTGTACAGGCTTTACTGCCAAAATACGAATGACTCGATTTGAAAGGCTAGAGTTAATAGTTAATAGCCAGAGATTTTTCTGCTTGCTATTCTCTTGATGTCAGGGAGTATCAGCAAATCTTGGCTGCCAGTTGGAAAAATTATTCTTTCTTTCTTTCTTTCTTTCTTTCTTTCTTTCTTTCTTTCTTTCTTTCTTTCTTTCTTTCTTTCTTTCTTTCTTTCTT